TATATGCACAAACCGTTTCATAAATGTTTTTTTTAAGCGCAACTCACTGTAATAGTAGAGTACAAAAGTGCAGCACCCGAAGTGCTACACGAAAAGTGCAGTACACCTGCACCCTTTTATATAGCAGACATTATATTTAAAAAATACATATTAGCTAGTCATGTAGTATGGTTTAAGGCATAGTTTTTAAGGAAAAACAAATCCGAGCAACTTTTTCGATTTGTACACTCGATGTACAGCACTTACTGTACACTATCAAATGCGCATGCGCGCGCATCCAGGAGGCGTTCTCCGAAAGAGAGGGAAGCCAGAGAGCGGGAGAATAAAGAGTGGGGAAGAATATAAAAGACCGTGCAGAGCACGATTAGGGGCCTTTTTTCCCGATTAGAAAGCGTCCAGAAAAATACGTCTTCACGGGTTTTTTGAGTTTTAAGAGAACATTAAAGAAGATAGTCGAGAATAGAACAACTCTCGTGCGTTGAGAGATTCGCGTTAGCAATAATAAAAAAGGCAGTTTATTTTATAACCGTAATATTGTACCGGAACTTTTTATACGCGATATTATTTTTCGAAATATATATTTTATATATTTATATATTCAAAATAAGTGTGATAGTCATTAACTCACCTTGAAATCGCGAAATCCTTTCCTGTGTCCGTGTGTCGATCCAGCAGCGTACAACGGGTAGTCCAGTCATCCTTGGGCGTTGATCCGACGAGTCCAGCGGCGACCTGAAACAGAAAAAAGAAGGGATTAGTAAAGAAACAGATAAGTTGTCCAACAACGTAACGTTGCACAAATAACGTCGTTACGACGTTTTCTTGAGGCGTCGAGGCAATTCCATACAACGGGAAGTCCAAACATCCATGGGCGTTGATCCGGTGAATCCAGCGGCGACCTGAAACATAAAAGGAGAAAGAAATTAAGGATAATTCCTCAGCAGCCAAGCGGATAAACAGTGGCGTTCAAACCAGAGTGATCCTGACGCTGTGCAACCTGTCCGACGGCAGACATTTTTTTTCCATCGTCGGGAGGGGAAAATGCATTTACGCACCGTACCCCGGGGCCGGCCCCGGGGCGTGTGTGGGACTCCTCGCTGACCTAAACAAACGGCCAGGAGATTATCCACTTAAAAACCCCTCCGGCGGATGCGAATTCCGCCAGCAGTTTGAATTGAGCGCGCGGGAAATGTTATGCACAAAACAACTCTGCGCGCCCAACCCCTACCACATCGCACCTCTAGAGTGCCCGCCTTCTAACATTCATCCTAATTACTGTGTCGGTACATTCCCTACATAAAATAATTAACCAAATTAATAGATATAAATATAAATAGATCAATTAATTAGTTAATTAATCAAAGCCTAGTATAAGTACACACAATTTGAGATTCCTTACAAACTACCTTGTAGCTAAACCTTAAAACTACCCCTTACTAGTTAAGCAATTGTACCCCCGTACTCTTAACGTCCCTATACTTATGTACAGCAGAGCTGCCTGAGCCTCGCAAGTATCCGCTTACTGAGACTCCATCCCTTTCCGAACGAAATAGACCGAAATCTAAGTTAAGTCCGTATCCTAAAATGCAGTCTTAGACTGCCTCAACCTTAGTAGCTAGTCTACTATTGGTTGCTTCCCTAACAAGCTAAATGTTATCTGGATTGGTCACTATCGTCAGCTCTCCGTTCCTGTTCTTGACGGCGCCTCTCCGCATCCTCTTTCGCAAGCATCACAGTTTCCGCGAAAAGAGTCATGGCTGTCCACGCCTCTTCGGCTCTACATAATTCGCTAATCACATTCCCAAGGGACAAATAGACTCCTACGGTAGCCTAAAGGGCTTCCCTCTCCGCCTGCCATGCCCTACACTCGCGCAGAGTATGTTCAGCAGAGTCCTCCAGATCCTCCTCACAATGCTCACAGATCGGGCTCGCCACTTTATTTATCCTGTACAGTCATGGCCTGTGAGCAGCTGTGTAAGATGGAACGCCATACTGCCATGTCTCCTATTTAACCAATCATGGAAGTTCGGTAGCACAGCCTCCCTGGTCCTTGCTCCTGCTAAGTTTGGGCTTCGCAGGTGCAGGTCCCACTGCCGTCTCAGTAATATCTTTTCCTCCAGCTTGATTTCCGTTTCGCCCTCTTTGGACCATTCCTTGGACAGTCTGAGGTCCCTTACCCGCTCGTAAATTCTTCTGCGAGAAGCCGCAAGTATATATATCGGTGGAATCCTAGATAACAACGTTGCTGCTTCCATTGAGACCGTTCTATAACCTGATATCATTCTAATTGCTATTGATCTCTGAAGCCTGCTAAATAAGTTCTGATTCCTTCGTAAGGCTAAAGCCTCGCTCCATATAGGGGCCCCATACAAAAGAATAGAGAGCAAGACATTCGCGTAGAGTCTTCTCTTGTTCTCCCCCGGGTCTCTTAAATTCGGCATAAGTCTACCCAGGGCTCTATTTACTTTGGTCGCCTTATCCACTACATATTGAAAGTGTTCCCTAAATCTAAGTCTATGGTCTAAAATAATACCTAAATATTTCATAGAGCATCCAGCTCTTACCCACTCTCCATCAACATTAATATAGGGCATCACAGCGGGTCTATTATTACCCGAGAACAGTACTACCTCCGTCTTGGTAGCTGATACAGATAATCCTAACCTTTTAATTCTATTTATAAATAATCCTACTTGTAGGTTAGCTCTAGCCACCGCTCTTTGGACCGTGTCTCCTGAGGCCAACACTAACGTATCATCCGCGTAGCACAAGGTCTGACAACCGTATTCCGATCCTAATTGTAGCACACTATCGTATGCAATGTTCCACAGGGTCGGGCCGAGGACCGAACCCTGCGGAACACCTGCCAACATAGCTCTTTTCTCTACTACAGTGCCCACAGGGTACTCAATCGATCTCGAATCTAAATAACTATCTATTATCCTTCTGATATAGTCTGGAAAGCCCTTCTCAATCAACGCCTGTCTAATAACCCCCCACGGTATGGAATTGAAGGCGTTCTTTATATCAAGACTCACCGCGACTACGTATCCACACTCTTGGGTGGCCTGCTCAATGGTTTTTTTAACTCTTATCAACGCATCACATGTGGATCTACTTTCGCGAAAACCGTATTGATCATCAGATAATTGCGCCATTTGTTGTTCCTTCATCCAGTCACTAATTCTACCTACTATCACTCGTTCAAATGTTTTCCCTACTTCGCTAAGAAGACAAATGGGTCTAACCTTAGGGATGCCGGGGGATGACTCCCCTCCTTTCGGAATTAGCACCAACGACGCTCGCTTCCACTCGATTTGGAATATTC